ACCGCCCCCCCGAGTGCACAAATTTTTGTGCACTGGGCCTCTAGTATATAATAAAAGAGTAATATGCAAATTGATCCTAACAGCAGAACGATGAGGGACAACCGGTCGCTATGAAGCACACTGACCACCTGGGGGCAGACGCTCAACACGGGAGCTGCCCCCTGGAGGTCAGTGCGCTCCCACAGGGGGAATTACGCTCAGCCACAAGCTGGGCTGATGGCTGCGAGCGCAGTGGTGGTGGCAGTAGCGGGAACTTCTTCCACTTCTGCAGCAGCACTAAGGATGTCCGACTGACGGCTTAGGCCCGATCCCCTGGGGAGCAGGCCTAAGCTGGCAGATGAACATCCCCCGAGGACTCCCGGGCTGCCAGAGGAATGTCTGACTGCCAGTTTAGGCCTGATCCCCCAGGAAGCGGGCCTAAGCCGGCAGGTGGACATCCCCCAAGGGGTCCCGGACTGCAAGAGGGCGCAGGCTGGGCTGAGGGCCCCCACCCCCCCGTGCATGAATTTTCGTGCACTGGGCCTCTAGTGTGTGTGTGTGTGTGTGTGTATGTATATGTATGTATGTATGTATGTATGGGTATATATATATATATATATATATATATATATATATATGGATATATATACACACACACACACTTAGAAGGAAAAGAAAAAACTATTAGTAGGTACAGATGTGAAAAACTCAACCTCTCCCACACTAAGAGAAATGTCAATTGCAATTACAGTTGGATACCATTTCTTTTCTATCAAAGTGACAAATACCTAAAAGTTTGAAATATACTTTGCTCATAAAACTGTAAGGAAACGAGAACGCCTTCATACCTTGCTGGTAAGAGTGCAAAGTAATATAACCCCATTTGCATTTTATTTTTTATTTTTTGTTAAGGGGCCGGGAAGGGGTGGGGGCCGGGAATGGGAGGGGGTGGGGCAGAGGGCATGAAGGGTTCCTCCCCATTTGCATTTTTATAGGAAACTATAAAATGTCATTTATACAAGGTTTTCCACTACAATATTGTAATAGCAATAGATCAAAAACAATACAGTTCCCCAACAATGGAATAGTATGCAGGTATGGAGAAGAAGTGTATTTTGTATAAACTAGCATGCACAATCTTTCTAGATATGCATGTTGCCCTGGCTAGTGTGGCTCAGTTAGTAGAAGGGTCATCCCATACACACTGCAAGGTTGCAAGTTTGATCCCGGCCCTGGTGGGGGTGCGTGCAGGAGGCAACCAATCAATGTTTCTCACATCGATATTTCTCTCTCTCTGTCCTCCCATTCCCTTCCCCTCTCTCTAAAAACTAATGACAATGTCCTTGGGTGAGGATTTTTAAAAGAAGATATGTATGTGTATCAGAACATTATTCACAATAGCCAAGGTATGGCAACAACCCAAATGCCCACCAACAGATGAATGGATAAAAATATGTGGTATGTACACACAACAGATTATTATTCAGCCATGAGAAAGGACAATCTCTTGCCATTTGGGACAATATAGATCAGTGGTTCTCAACCTTCCTAATGCTGCGACCCTTTAATACAGTTCCTCATGTTGTGGTGACCCCCAACCATAAAATTATTTTCGTTGCTACTTCATAACTGTAATTTTGCTACTGTTATGAATCGTCATGTAAATATCTGATATGCAGGATGTATTCTCATTGTTACAAATTGAACATAATTAAAGCATAGTGATTAATCACAAAAACAATATGTAATGATATGTGTGTTTTCCGATGGTCTTAGGCGACCCCTGTGAAAGGGTCGTTCGACCCCCAAAGGGGTCGCGACCCACAGGTTGAGAACCGCTGATATAGATGAATCTTGAGCGTATTATGCTACGTGAGATGGTCAGAAAGAGAAAGACAAATACTGTATAATCACTTATATGTGGAATCTAAAGAAGTCAAAACTGTAAAAAACAGTAAAATGGTGGTTACCAGAGGAAATGATTGACGGTGTCTAAAGGTATAAACCTGTAACAAGTAGTAAATGAGCCATAAGGTTCTAATGCACAGTATAATGAATTTAGACAATAATACTGTACCTGGCAATCATACTACACTATATAAATATATGAAAGTAATACACTATACACCTTAAACTATACAATGTTACATATCAAATTTATGCAATAAAAAAAGATATGTTATTAAGTGAAAAAAGCCAAGTTATGAATTACTATAAGGTGATATATCATCCTTTATTTTAAAAAGGGGGCATAAGAATTGATATTCATATTTGCAATGCAAAAATATGCAAGGATTGACAACAAACTAAAAAATATGGCTGCTTTACAATGGAGTTGACAAAAATGAATAGAAGCAAGACTTCCCAGTATATTTTCATTGTGTTATTAGTTGTTTGTATTAGTTTGATTTTATGTCCCCAAAAATATATGCTTAGTCAAAAATATTAAGCTATAAAATAAAACCCACTCCTTTATGAATTAAAAATTAAAATCTCACACACAATTACCATCTAGAAAAATAACCCACAAACACAGTTCACTAAAGAGTAAATGAAAAATTAATAAGACATTTGAAATAGTCCTTAGCCTTTTCTTTTCAACCATAAAAGATAACAACACAGCCCTAGCCAGTTTGGCTCAGTGGATAGAGCATAGGCCTGCGGACCAAAGGGTCCCAGGTTTGATTCCAGTCAAAGGCACACACTGTACCTTGGTTGCAGGCTCCTTCCGGTCCAGGCCCTGGTCAGGGCTCGAGCAGGAGGCAACCAATCGATGTGTTTCTCTCACATCGATATTCTGTCTTTCCCTGTTTCTTCCACTCTCCCTAAAAATCAATGGAAAAATATCCTCTGGTGAGGATTTAAAAAAAAAAAAAAAAGATAACACAAAGAGAAAAGGGGAAGAATGCGAAATTTGCAGAGAAAGAAATATAAACAACTAATAACACAACGAAAAGGTGTTCATATAAACATCAGTGAGATGCCATTTCCACCTCTGCGACAGGCACAAGGAAACGGTCACTCTCATACCCTTTCGGAGGGTAAGCTGGCAATCTTTATAAAAATGTAAAAGCATCTACAGCCTCCAGCTCGGTAATTACTAGTCATTGACCTCTCTCTGCTCACTACTTGTGGAACTACGTGCACAAGTCCATCCATCACAATATCTGTTCAAGGATATTGCTTGCAGCACTGTTTTTAGTGACAAAAACAAACCATCCATGTGTGCATCACTGAGGGCCCTAAGAAGTAAGTTAGAGCACAGTCACATGATGCGATACTGCACAGGCTGGAAGGAACGAGGGCCACCTGAAGTGGTAACACAGAAAGATACCAAGGGGTGTTGTCTGGAGACAAAAGCAATGGTGCAGAAAAATACCGAGAGTAGCGTCTAAGCGTGAAATGTGAGGGGGGCTTAAAGGTAGAGGAACAGGGAGAAACACTGCAACTTCTTTCTGGATACATTTTGTTTACATTTCATACTTTTTTGCTCTGTTTGAATTTTAAGTATGAAATTTCATTAAAAACCAAGTTATTTAATACATATTTTGGCAATTACGTGCCAAGTACTTGCAGACAAAAGTAGTTTCTCTATCATATCTACATCGTCTCCCAGTGCTGGTGACAAAGGCAATTCTAACCAACAATATAAACCTGCACATCACCTCAAACTCTGTTTTCAAGCTCACACGATATGAGACGTGGGAGTACAAAAGCCGGGTGCCTGCTTCTGTGTCTGTGTTCATTGTTACCTGACCAGCACCACAACCAGCACTAGGGCCCCGGGGACACAGCACAGTTCTGGATTCACCACTGATTAATGACTCATCCACAAGCAAATCACTTAGCTGGTGGCTCTGGGCCTCAGTTTCCCCTTCAGAAGAAAAATGAGTATGTGTGCACACGTGTGTGTGGCAGAGGAGGCTACTGGATACTTCTAAATCTGTATGATTCTAATTTAAAAGTACTACAACATTTCATTGATAATTTGGAAAGTAGCAAACACACTCAAGCTGCGCATATGTTATCTATCCAGGATCTCAATAAACAGACAAAAAAATATTACATACCAAAAGAAACCCAGCTTAGCTGAATATCTGGAGGCTGAAAAAAAGACCATCAATGGGTCCACTGATGTCAAGCCAAAAGAACAGCATTCATGCTGTTAAAATAATAAAATGAAAATACTTTCAAGATGTCAGCCCTAATTTTTATTTATTTTTTCAATGGCATATGGATATGAAATTCCCCATCACTTACTTTACCATAGTGGTTGCCCTCTGAGCCAACCGCTAACACTGACTCTGAAGATCTGCAATGGGGCCATGACATGAACATGAATATTCTCAACTATCTGTGGTGCAGCTTTCAGGCAAGTAGGGAAACATAGTTTCCGGAAATTCAAACTTTACACAATAGTGGAAGTCAGGAGCATGAGGTAGGAGTATAAGATTTCCACGGCCATTGCAACTATTATTCTATTAGCTATAAACTGTCAAGTGTTCCTGTAATAGACTATTCTCACCTACTTCTGAAATCCACAGTTGCTCATGTGCAAAAATCAGTCCCAGCGAGACAACATATTACCATAAATCATGTAAGTGCCAGGAAAGGTAGGCACTGACTTTTATTTTTCTATTTCCATATTTGTCAATAGATGATCTATGTCTACCCTTTTCACTGTTCCCTCTGAACTAGGCAGAGACTAAAGGAAAAGTAGGCCAAGTATATTTAATATTTTACACCAAGTTCTTTGTTAAGATGGCTTGGCCAGCCCCGCGCCTGACTCTCACACCAGCCGACAGCTCCAGTAGGAATGAAGCACCAGTATAATGGGTGCTGTGCTCCAATGCCTACTAATGCACTGAGGGTTATTGGCCAACTTCTTCACATAAAGGCAAGTGTGAGCGTATGTGTGTGAACATGTGTGTGTGCCCACGACATGGGGGAGCCAGCCAAAGCTGCTTAATTTCTGTAAAGCTTTTTTTTCCTTAATAGGGAGGTGGGTTGTGGTTACTTACCATCCTCATAAGCCGCTACCGCCAGTGAGCTGTTTATCCTCACAAAGGAGACATATGGCTGCATTCCAGGCTCGTCCTCCTCCTCATACTCGGAGTCCAAGAAGGGGGCTACGTAGTCCCAGGTGCGGGTGTCCCACACCCTCACGTCCCCTGATGTGTATCTGGAAAAGAAGGACCTCGTTGGTTCCAAGTGGAGAGAGAGAGCAGGGCCATAGTGAGAAAATGGGGAGAGCCTAAAACAACAGAGGAGGAAGATTTGGTTGGAGTGGAACCACCCCTGCAACACTGTTCAGATGAGACTCCAACAGGAGAAACTGTCACCTGGGTAACAGAAAGGCTGTGAACACCTTTCACATTCTCAGAGCACAATGCTGACAACTTCAAGAGAACACTAGACCATAAAAAAAAGTGGGTATCGAGATCTTTTTTTCCCTTTTACACTATTATAACCTTAAGTTCTTCCAGTAAAGAGATCACTAGCAGAAATTTGTAGAAGCCACAGTATTTACATACATGAACACACAAGAAAGACAGGCAGAGAGCATGAGAAAAACTAAAGACTAATGGTCTTCCAGGCACAAGCTTTCTAATACCTCATCCATGCATCAGATTTGACTGATTAAAGTCCCTAAAGACTAATTGATTTGCTGAAACAATTAAATCTTGCCTTTAGCAGCCAGACAATGCTGCCTTCTCATGAAAAGCTCTTGCTGAAATGCATGACACTCCCAGTTTTGCCCACTTAGAAAATAGGAGCCCTCACTCTCTGCTATTACTACTGCCACTCCAACAAATGAAGCTTTCCATCAAAGCCACAGCAGGGCCAGAACCTGCTCAGACACGAGGCCACTAGGAAAATGGCCCGGCCAGATGACGAGGTGGTGCACTGCCTGCCACTGGGGTATTTATGCTAAGTTCCTTACATCTGCTTCAGAGGGCACCATTCAACATGTAAAGCAACCGCAGGGAAGCATATCAGAGATGTTATAAGAGTACATATGTACCCCCACACACACAGGCAGACAATTTAGGGGGTTTCCAAGCCACTGTTCTTTCAGGGTTTCTTTTAATATATTTTTACTGATTTCAGAGAGGAAAGGAGAGGAAGATAGAAACATCAATGATGAGAAAGAATCATCGACTGGCTGCCTCCTGCACGCTCCACACTGGGGTCTGAGCCCACAACCCCAGGCATGTGCTCTGACCAGGAATCAAACCATGACCTCCTGGTTCATAGGTTGAAATTCAACCACTTGAGCCACACCAGCTGGACCTTTCAGGGTTTCTTTGATCCCACGTTAAAAATGTGGAGTCGAACACAATAACCTCTGAGGTTTATTTAATTATTGCAATCTATGGTATGATCCATTACAAAGTAATTATAGATCAATTTCTCATGTGAGATTTCTTAATAAGGAAACTAAGAATACTCTTAATTCAGGAGTGCTTCATTTACTAAATGCAGTAAGTAGTCTTCCTCTCAAATTAATAATTGGCAGTAAGTACAAAGATTGTGTAATTCAAAGGTCATTCTGTCGCAGATTCTCTAGGCTGGAGGGTCCTCTCTCAGCAGACAGCATCTGGAGAGTGTGCGTGTAGAGAGAGCCAAATAAGAGGCACGTGCTTTCTAACACTGGACTGATGGGCCTGTTTGACCACTCATCCTCAGTCAACAGAAACACTCACTCCACGGTGTCATTAGCCTGGTGATGCACAAGCAAGGGTGGATATTGATAGCACCGCGGCCGAAGCACGGCTGCTGGCTCCTGGGCCCTCCGGGCAGTGTTCCAGATGACCCTCCATAAGGAGGAAACCCACACAAGAACACACACCCCACTGCACCGAAGCTTCCAGGCTCACCCTGACTCTCCGAAAATGACTCAGGCAATCCCCGGAGTAAGGCCACTTCCTTATTAGCGAGAGACATTAAACAGAGATGACATGTTTGGAATTCTAGACTGTGTGAGTAGATTCTTAGGGTTAATTTCGAAGTGAAAGGAAAAGAAAGGTGAGAAGGATGACAACATCTTTCAGAAATTCAGAGAAGGTGAGTGAAGAAAGGGAATTTGGAGATCAGAGAATTAAAGAACTTGGAGAAAAAGAAGTGCATAAACCAGGAAAATGTATTTCTACTCCATTAGTCTCATTCTGTTTTTTAACCTGCACATGGAACCACACCAGTGGTCTTCATGTGGTCCTTTGTGGCACCCCTTAGGTGCCACAGTACAGAGGAGAGAATTTTAGCGGCTGAGCTCCACCCCACCCCCAGTCCTTTATATGATGAGGTCCCAGGTAAAACAACAACAACTAAACAAAACTTAGAAAACTGCTGAATCCCACAACAGTGACCTGTGAGATGCAGCGTGTTGCTCTCTCATTACTTAGGGAAGAGGAGAGAGGGAGAGCAGAGATGCCACGGAGAAGAGCACTCTGTTAACATCTAATATCCTGGCGAGTCTTTTCTTCCATGAAGTTGTCCCACTCACACTGCAACTCCACAAGTTTAAATTAAATGCGTGCAGTCCTCAAAAGTTTCAGCTCACCACCAAAGTAGCCCGTTGCGGAATTCCTTATTTTGGCTGGTGATTTTCTTTTTTTGCCCACTACCCACATTGCAATACCCTTTCTTCTCATTCCTAGGAATGCCACTCTATCTACATCCCTCAAGCCCTCACAGCTGTACCATGGCAGCCCCCCTACATCTAAGCCTCTCCCGCCTCCAGTCAACCCTGCACAAGCCAAGTCCTCAAAAATACTTGACTCCATGAATCATCCTGCCTTTCTCCTTTGCCCTCCGAGACCATGTGCCCTATGATCTACACAGCCTAGACTTACTCTCATGGCAACTGTGTGTGTGTGATTATCTGACTGTTTGTCTCCCCTACAAACCTACAAGCTTCTGAAGTCGGGGGCTGGGTCTTGCTCACTGCTGTGGATCACTGACTGGAACTGTCAGACTGGACGACACTGGACACCCAGGAAGTCCTCTGTAAATACGTAGTCCTTAACACCTAATGGAATGAAGTTGTAATTACTAGCCTAGCACTGAGAACACTCCACAACCTAGCGCCCACTCCTCTTCCCAGCCTCATTTCCTACCCTTCCTTAGCATGAGCCAGCCTCCATTCATTGGCTTCCGAACACTCTTGCCTCTGAACCTCAGCTCACAGCCTTCCCTCCTCCCCACTCAGCACAGTGGGTCTCAACCTTGACTGCACATTATAGAATCACCTGGAATGCTTTTAAGACTCCCAATACCCAAGCACGCCCCAGACCAATTAAAACGGACTCTCTGGCCCAGCCAATGTGGCTCAGTGGTTGAGGGTCGACCTATAAACCAGGAGGTCATGGTTCAATTCCTAGTCAGGGCACATGCCTGGGTTGTGGGCTCCATCCCCAGTGTGGGGTGTGCAGGAGGCAGCCGATGATTCTCTCTTATCACTGATGTTTCTATCTCTCTGTCCCTCTCCCTACTCTCTGAAATCAATAAAAATATTTAAAAACAAAAACTGACTCTCTGGAGGTGGAACCAGGCATCAATATTTCCAATGTGCAGCCAGGATTGAGAACCTCTGACCTACCCCAAGTCCACCAACTCCTCAAGGTCTAGCAAAGGCTCTCCTCCTCCATGAAGCCTTCTCTGACTCAACTACCATGCCCCATACGTGAAGAAACGGCATTCATTGGTACGTTCCATGTCTCCTCACTGTAAAGTCCTCGTGAAGGCCATACCTCAATGCCACAGCCTCCATCACAGTGCCTTACACACAGCTAACAATAAGCAAATGGTTGAAAGGGGACATCCACATCTGAGTTCAAATGGTTTGAGTGGCACCTCCTTCCATATCTGCTGCCCACCTTCCAGTGCTATTGATCAATGAAACACCCAGAATGCACACATCAATATGCATTAGAATTCTTGCATGTGTTTCTAAACTGATTAAAATAATTATAAAACACAAGATAAGCTAAATTATTTCAGTAAACATGAAGTTGTCCATAGATAGCCATTGAAATTAACTCCATTCTTCATGGCTAAAGAGCATGATAATAACACAAATGTTTTGCTACAAAATGACTCAGGAAGCAAAATGTAAGAGACTTTACGTCTCTTTCATGATAGGAGCAGAGAATAAATAGCGTGATGACTCCATTGCAGGTTCTAAAATCTAACACGGGTGAAAGCAAGCACAGCAGTGGCAATGGGACTCAATGCTAAAGAAACACGTTTTCACCAGGTGAAACATTGGTAGGGGCAGAGGGACCTGGACCCAGCCCTAAATGTGATCTACAAGCACTTACCACATTGGCCAGGAGAAGCAAGAACCGATATCCAAGCAAGGTAGGGAAAAGGGTTGATTTTTCTCCAGAGCTCCAGATGTCTTTATTGCTGCCTAATGGCAATTACACTCAACCAATTCAGACACCACTATGACAGCTGCATTGTCAGTAAGCCTTTGGACCCCAATGTTGATGGCTCTCTAATTAGTGCCCGTGCAAAGTACAACTGCAACTAATGGAAGAGCACTAAAGAAACAATGAAGAAGCAGCCTTTTCCAAAGCAGTAAGGATGTCCCAGCCCATGGCACGGGCCAGTGAAACTGTATGCCTTCGCCATCTTTTTTTATGCTTGGCAAGGCTGAGTTTACCTCCAAATAAATGGGTCACAGACCACAGCTGATTTTTTGTTGAAAGAATGGGAATAGAGCCTCTCTCAAGCTCAGCACGCCAGAGCAATTGCCAATTTAAAATGATTTATCACCAAAGAGCTTTCATTAACTTGTAAGTCTCCAATAAACAGACTACTGATTTGGACTAAAAGACCGGAAGAAAAAGAGGGAAGACATACAGCTAAAAACGACCTTTAACCTTTCTTTTCATATAAATGTCCAGCAGGGTGAGAGAGGCGGGGCATGGTTTCATTTTGCTTCCAGGTGCCAGGTCTTCTTTGCTAAAAACAATGTTTGTCAAAGCTCTTCATAATAACCTGGGGGGTTGTTTTGATTTAAGGAAGCTGGAAATGGGGTTAAGTGACTTACCCAAGGTCACAGAAACATTTTAGTGGCACAGCTGGGATCAAAACAGGTTCTTGGGCTTTTTTCAATCTGCTGCTTAGCCAACAAGCCACTCCATCTCCTCCGATGAAGTGTCTTTAAACTAATACAGCTTTTAAGAACCATCCCCATTTAAGTGCAATATAAGGAATTTATTGTTTTCAATATTGTGACTCAGG